TGACGTTCGTGAATGGAATTCGTTACTGTGGGACCAGCCTCTAGTCACGCCTGCGCGCTGGCATCGTCCGTCAGGCTAACCCAAGACGCCGCCTGCGGGGAATCTGGGGTTTGGTCCTCGTTGGACGGGAACGACACGGCCACAGGGACGGGAGCGGGTATGTTATTTTCGGTCTTCGGTTCACCTTCCGCAGGAGTCGCAGGGGTTGGCGATGGCACCGGCGTCGCCTCAGACTCTACCTTCTTTTCCTCCTCAGCCTTCTTCTGCTCTAGTAGGAGCTTTTCGAGCTCTGCGCGCTTCTCCTTCTCGGCTTCAATTCGACGCTTCTCGCGCTAATTGAGAATGATTGGTCAGCAGCGAACAGCAACACGTCAGAGTATCTCACCTCCTCTTTCTCCTTGGCCTCTCGAGCCTCCTTCTCCTTCCGGAGCTTCTCCTTGAGCTCGCGCTCTGAGATGACCCATGCAGCGGCGCCCTCAGCGGCAGCCTCAGGTCTGCTCTTATTCTTTAGAAGGTCTATATTAAGGAAAAAGCATATGTCAGCGCCGTGCCTACATGAACCTTCGAACGCACCAATCCCCTCCGCGAGGTCCCTCATCCCGCATCATAGGTGGAATCAAATCATGAGAAAAACCCGCCAGGGCACACAGACAAGTCGGTAACGGGACCACTCACATCCTTGCAGCGCAGCAACGCTAAACTCTTCATCGGGGATCGAGTCCGCGAACTTCTTTCCGAGCTCTGCGAGCTTGGCGTTGCTTAGCGGCACCGCCGAATGCTTGTAGCTGGCAAGGTGCTCCTCCACCGGTGGCGGGAGGTACGCTTGGTTCTGCACGGTAGCATACATGCTGCTCACTCTTGACCTCCCTCTAGAGGAAGACGACGCTCGGCTGGTACCCGACGGCGAGCCCGGAGTTGAACCCGTAGCGGACGACGACGCCAACGAGGTAGAGGAAAGGGACGGTAGAGAGAACAGCGAGGAAGGGATGCTGGACGACGGGGCAGGGGACGGCGGGGTTGGAATGTCAATGCCTTCGAGCTCGGCTTCATCCTCGGGTCGCAACTTGTCCTCACCGTCGCGCTCATCAGTAGACGGGAAGAAGTTCCTAAAGAGCTGCTCGGCCTGCCACTTGCTCGCGTTCTTGAATTCGATCCAAACGTCCATCCGGCCGGGCCGGGACAAAGCCGGGTCGAGCCGCTCGAGGTGATTGGTGGTCCTGATTTCATCAGCGATATTGTTATCAGATCCCCGATCACCGCGTTATAAAACTTTCGGACACTCACGCAAAAAGCAGACGCCCCTCTGCGGCGGCGACACCGTCCAGCGCGTTCAGCAGGCCGCTCAGACTCAGCGTGTTCACGTCGCTGAGCTGGTCCTTTCGGCGACGGCCAGACGAGTCTAACGAATTTCCGTCGTCTTGATTGTTGCTGGCATTGTTATTGCTGTCCTTCTTGTCCTTGTCCGGCGTGCCAGTCGAGGTGCTGTCCCTGGTTACACTGCGCGTGAAGGCGGCGTCGAGGTCCTCGAGGAGAACTATGCATCTTGCCGGGACGCGGCCCATCAGCGTGGTGAGCGTGCTGTCATTGATCCACGAAGAGGACAGGGACACGACGTAGATATCGAGCATAAGCTCGCCCGCGATTGAGTGGATTAGCGAGGACTTGCCCGACCCTGGAACACCATAGAGGAGATAACCGCGGCGGAAGGGGATACCTCGGTCGGCGTACCACTACGAAGATGGTCAGTTTCAGCACGTACAGGATGGAGACGCTCTCTCGCACCTTCTCTGACTTTAGGAAGTCTTTCGTGTCGTCCAGGAGCATCTCCTTTACACCCGGGTTCAGTACTATGGACGACATGGGGCGCTTATGACGGGAGTCGGTCCACCGCCAGCTGCCATGCGAATCGGCAAAGTAAATCTGAATACGGTGCACCGCCTCGGCCTCATACTCTCTTTTGGCCTGCAGGACCAGCTGCTTAAGGATGGAGTTACTCCTGGCGACGACGCTATCAAAGACGTCAGCAATCAACAATCGCCGCACTTGTCCAACCTCCTACCTTATCGACAGCACTTCGCAACCATTGGCCCTGCTCCTCTTGACTCTCAGCCAATGCCCTTTGTAGTAGATGGTATGAGTCGTGTCGAACGTCGGCTGGAACACAACCCGCGTCTTCACGCGTCCGGGGCAGTCATCATCCTCCGGCTCCTCGTCCTCATCCCCGAAGGAGTTGTCCGCAGTGGAGGAGTTGTAGATCGCGGACGAGGTGCGCGTTGTCGTCTCGAACTCTCTCGAGCGCTGCCACTCCGGGCGGCGCGAGAGCCAGAGCATGAGCCAGTCGTATGGGTAGTCCTCCTCGGAGAAGTGGGCCGTGAGGAAGAATGCTGTGCACGTAGGAATGACTCGTCAGAATGGAGTACAATACAGGTATCGTGATGAACGGATGACTCACAGTTGACAAAGTGCGACCTGCACACACATTGCGATGTCAACAACGCAGAACAGGTAAAAGAGAAGGGTGTGGTAAACGCTCACCAAGCCGAGGAACTCATCCTGCGGGCGGTCTCGACAGTGGTCCCGAGAACGACGAGCTTCATGCCGTCAATGACCGACGAGCCTCCGCCGCCGCCGACGAGGGGCTGCACCAGCGACTTGAGAGCGTCCATGACGGTTGTTTCTGCTCAAACCTGGTATGGTTTGGGGTGGGGGCAACGCTGCGAGTGGGGGCGGCAGGTTGGTGTGAACGCGGGGTATCAAGGGTGGTAGCGGTACTGCTATGCTTAGCACTGAATATATGCTGCTCGCTTAATGCTGGCTGCAGTGACTCGAGTGTGAGTGAGTCAGTGTGCGCGGCGGTTGTGTGCAACGACGAGGACGCGTCAGCGCTTACGGGCGGAGATATGGCTAAGGGCAAGCCTCGTCCGCTGGGAGAATGGGCACGGCGCTTATATTCCGTTCAACGCCACCGCTTCGCTCTTGCCTTTTCTGCTCGACGCGCGCTTGCTTCGACTTCCCGGGTCCCGAGACGCCACAGCACTGACTCGAGTCTGGCTATACTACACAGCTTTTCTACATACGACTCGACGACGGTAGAATATATCTTCAAGCTTTAGGATATGTCCAGAGATAATCCTTCCACTGCCACACCCGCCTGCCACAACCCGAGCCGTCGCGCCATCCTGAGCAACATCGGTGCGGGGATAATAAGAGCGAAGCTTAAAGGCGTGAGCACGAGGAAGAGCAAGGTGAATAGGAGAGTTATCGACGGCTTGATGACTAGGAAGTAGAACAGCGCCCGATATGACGTCGGATCTGTAAACTGCAAGCGGTGCAGGCCAGATGACGATGTGAAATGAACGGCAACGAGGCGATTGTGAAATAACCAGGAAGAAATTGTGATATGAGTGCAAGAAACGGGTCCGAGATAGTGGGATGAGCAACAGGTTGTTGTCAGAATAGGAAAGTTACAAGGTTTCGACTCATTCGACTCACCATTGCATACGTGTTCTTGTAGAACGATCGCTCGTAGACGAGGGGTGCCCTGTGCCCAGATCCGAACAATCGTGACTCCTCGTCCTCGTCTGTAGACTCTCGAAACCGAGAGAAGATAGGGAGAGGAGGGTAAGGCAGGGGATAAGGCAGGGGATCGTGAAAATACGATTGGAGGAAGAGCTGCGTGGAGGGAAGCGCCATTAGAACGAAGGTCAGAATGCAAATAAGACAGAAGTGAGCTGGGCGTACCTCGGCTCGAGAGAAGGCTCTTGCGCCGAGAAGGTTGAGGAAGCAGAGGACGGCGCCTAAAGGAAGGGCCATAAGGAGGGTTGTACCTGTCTACATTCGAGAGGAGTGTCAGGTTCGTTCTAGGACGGTTGTATGAGGATGGAATGGCACCATGGTTCTAACAATCAGAATCTTCATGGAAGCACGGAACGTGGCAAAAAAGGAACACGAATGGCACTCTCAAGTCAAGGTAGCATGGACAGCGGGAGAGAGGGAGCCCCGGGGAGGGATGATACTCCAGATGCTGGTACAACGCTGTATGAGGCAAAGATGTGCATTTGGCCTGTCCCGAGACCGTTACCCTGCTACTCATACGGCCTGTACCCAGAAAAACTGCAGCTCCAGAACTTGAATCCGCTCATATCACATTCACAACAGAGTCCCATGGGAGCATAACGGACTTAACCCATCGGAATGAAGGACACTCACCAGCGTGAACACAAACAGGTATACCCAAACTGCTAGCGCGAATGGGAAGTTGACGACCAGAAGATGCGCCAGGCTCATCCAGTATCGCCGTCTTGCAAGCGGCCTCCAATACATCCTCCAGCTTCTTGACCGTCTGTTCCACGCAGCTGAAGGGGCTGACGACTCCTCCGATCCTTCACGCGGCGGGTGAGTGGGTAAAGGTGCATAATCACGATCGTTCTCGTCCAGATCCATCTCGTCGTCCGACTGGAACATCGAGAACACTGTATGCGCGAGAGATGGTGGACGAGTGGGATGTGTCCCTGAGCTCGCGGTCGACAAGTATGTAGACGTGTACGACGTTGTCCGAGGTCGAGGAAAAGGTGGCGGATTCACCGGCACTGGTGTAATATTGGGATTCGGATTTCTGGACAACCGCAAGCTGCGAGGCGATGACGGTGAATCCGGTGACAGTAGCGGCACTGTCTCGTTGATGTTGACAGCTAGAGTATCCAAGATCTCATAGTTATCTTGTCCTTCACCCGTGGTAGCGGTAGGAAACCCGACATGCTCTGAACCTGAAGCAAGCGAGCGCCGTTGTCGCGTGCGTCTTGGTCTGTGCGATGGATACGGTGGAGGCGGATCGTGGGCGTCGACGGCGTTGCCCAGAAGAGGTCCAAGGTCGGGAGCGGCATCCTGCATAGTGGTCATGTTTTCGATTGAAGATAGGTATAAGGAGAGCCGACACCAGCTGACGCGCGGGCGAAGTATGCCTGGTTGGTTCTCATTATATGTAGCCACGCCACAACCAAGACACGATGGCCGAGTGGTTAAGGCGAGAGATTCGAACTGCACATATCTCTTGGGCTCTGCCCGCACAGGTTCAAATCCTGTTCGTGTCGTTACTTCTGGACTTGTCCCTGAGCAAGCTTTTTGGGCGCCTCATACGATCACACGTTTTACGATGTTCTCGCACAGCTCGGGTTCTTTTCATTTTGCTCCCCGAGAAAGCAATGTCGTTACCTCCGGCGACTCCGGAGCGGGAAGAGCTATATATGGAAAAGGCGGCCGTTCTTGACTGTTCCCGAGGCCGCAGCCGGTGGCGGCACGGGCGGGTCGCGGTCGGGGGGCAAGGAAATTCCCAGCATCATTTCAAGGCAGTTTGCCCTCGACTCCTTTCCTACCGTCGCATCATCCGTCTTCCTCGTCGTTACCGCCAGCGTCGGCCTCTCGTTCTTTTCTTATTTTATTTGCCATTTGGCTGAATCTGCGTGGCAACGGCGAATCCGCATCCCAACAAGGCCTAGCTCGCTTTCGTTGACCTTTCTTCCCAACCACCACCACTGTTTTCCCCTCCGTACATATCATGGGTTGCGTTCAGTCCGCCGGCGTTGATGAGGAGGCCAAGGCCCGTGAGTGCTGACGCTTTGTCTGCGTCGAGGGTGTGGCTGACGGCGGGCCTCGCAGGCAACGATGAGATCGAGAACCAGTTGAAGCGGGACCGTATGATGGCGAAGAACGAGATCAAGATGTTGCTTCTCGGTGCGGGCGAGTCGGGCAAGGTGGGCGTGCTTCGGTGGACGAGTGTGCAGCGCTGACCCCCCGCCAGTCAACCGTCCTCAAGCAAATGAAGCTCATCCACCACGGCGGCTACAACGAGCAGGAACGGGACTCGTACAAGGAGATCATCTTCTCCAACACCATCCAGTCCATGCGCGCCATCCTCGAGGCCATGCCCCAGCTCGACATCCCGCTCCAGCCCCAGAACGACGCCCGCCGCGCCGTCATCCTCTCCCTCCCGCCCCAGATCGAGGGCGACGTCCTCCCGCGCGACGTCGCCGACGCCGTCCGCGGCCTGTGGCGCGACCCCGGCGTCAAGGAGGCCGTCCGCCGCTCCCGCGAGTTCCAGCTCAACGACTCGGCCGTCTACTACTTCAACGCCATCGACCGCATGGCCGCCCCGGGCTACATGCCCACCGACCAGGACATCCTGCGCTCCCGTGTCAAGACCACCGGCATCACCGAGACCACCTTCAAGGTCGGCGAGCTCACCTACCGCCTCTTCGACGTCGGTGGCCAGCGCTCCGAGCGGAAGAAGTGGATACACTGCTTCGAGAACGTCACCGCGCTGGTTTTCCTGGTGTCGTTATCGGAGTACGACCAGATGCTGTACGAGGACGAGAGTGTGGTAAGTGCCGTCCTGGTCGACGACGACCTCACGTAATGATCTCTCGCCCAGAACCGTATGCAAGAAGCCTTGACGCTGTTCGACTCGATCTGCAATTCGCGGTGGTTCGTCAAGACGTCGATCATCCTGTTCTTGAACAAGATCGATTTGTTCGCGGAGAAGCTGCCCCGCTCGCCGCTGGGCGACTACTTCCCCGACTACCAGGGTGGCGACAACTACGACGCCGCCTGCGACTACCTCCTGCACCGCTTCGTCTCGCTCAACCAGAGCGCGGCGACGAAACAGATTTACGCGCACTACACGTGTGCGACCGATACCCAGCAGATCAAGTGTAAGTCTGTGCTCTCACGTGTCGTAACCGATCTGACCGTGCCTGTTTGCAGTCGTGCTGAGCGCGATCCAGGACATCCTACTACAACTCCACCTGCGGGAATGCGGGCTGTTGTAGCGTGTGTCGGTCAGGCTCTCGCATTGTCGCTTACTACATGTACATGAACACTGGCCGCCCCGGTTCAATGCAACGTCTACTCCTGGATCTTGGAATGTTATTTTCTAATCGTTTAGTATTCTCTTCTCTTGTGGTAACCCGGGTGGCGCCGAGTAATTTACAGATACATTGGACTCGGGGACCAGCGCTTTTTCTCACTTATTTCCTTTTTACACTGTGTATATATGGCCCCCCTGTTCAGTAGTCCGCAATCTCTATGCAATTCCGCTCCTTTAGCCTGATATATATGTCCTCCTCATGTTGTCAATTTATAATGCTTACAGTAATGTCGTGAATTGGAATGCTCGCAGTTTCCGCGCGGCAACTGCCGGTGCCACATTCTATGTGTGGCTCAGCTGACTGTGGAGAAGCAGGTTCGAATGAGGACTTGGATAGGTAAAGGATCTGCTTGCCACTGACCAGCATGTTGTCGTGAGCCGCGGGTGATGCTACAGTAGAAGGGAGAAGAGGAAAGTAGTGTCACGTGACATACCCTTCCACACGGCTGTGGCATCGCTTAGTGCGTGCAGACCTTCAGCCCATCCCTGCTTCAAGCACGTCTGGTTGTCTCAATTGTACTTGATTTGTCGAAGATTTGTATCAATTTTGAGCTAATTTACGGTGCGACTACTCCTCAAGATCGCGTTCATAATATACGTCGTCAATATTCATGGCGTCTATATATTAGAATCGAGACATCGCCATTTGAGCCGAGAACCATCGCGCTGTACCACAAATTCGGGACAAACGAGAACGGCCTCGACATGTCGGCAGTGGGCACTAGTACTGTCGTCCGAGGTAAACCTCCTGCGCATCAAGGCCACAATCAAGGTCCGACTATGATGGTGAGAGGAAATTCTCCGATTAAAGAACTTTACTGACACGCGATACGTTCTGGACGGCACTCGACTGGTGCTGAGGCACGCAATGGCATGGAAAGATGGTGCATAGCCTATGATACGGATGTCAAGATGTCGGTGGGCTTAAGCCCTCTGCCACAAATTTAGGTGTGATTATACTCATATCCCCGGCATTTCGACTGTTAACGTCTTATCCCTGTTACGCACTCATTATCCTAGAGGGCTTATGCAACTCAGCTCCCCGACATCAACTAGGCTATTCCCTATTCATGATCAAAACGGAGAGCCTGATCAGGTCACTAGATGACGAAGACATCACCGAGGTAGGCTGACATATCAGTACACCACCATTGCTCCCAAGTACCACAGCGGGCGCCTCGCTAACATCATACGCTCAGGAGGATGTTTCAGAGGCTGGAAAAATAAACTGTCCGATTTGATACCTCCTGGAATCTGCTCAGTCTCAATGACCGGTTGGAACAGGGTCTGATGGATATCAACGCATTCGTTCCGTAGCGCACTCTGCTCACTGATCAGATCAGACGTAGGGCGTATGACTGGTGATGGGGTCAATAATAACCCCCGGTATACGGTTCTGCCCAGGGTGTTCCACCCTCATATTAGACGCCACCATACGTCTGAAGCAAGATTAGCGTTTACAAGGCTATGATGCGACGCAGGCGATTTAATGAGTAAGTCACACCTGGAGATGTTATGGCTCCTGCTGCAGGGCGTCCAGCAGCAAGTCATTCAGGCAAAGTAGAACCTTTCCGACAGTGCTAGTGAACGCCAGATCAGGTAGTAATACGCCGGCGTCGTTGGATATTGCACGTGAATTTTCAGCCGGGCGAAGGCCACAAAGTCGTTAACCCGGCGAGCCGCTTACAGTCTACTCTCGACGTCAAGAAATCCCTACGTAAAATTGTCAAGACGAAAACATATAAACAGAGGTAGTTTCCGGAGTATTATACTGTCTTTTCGTTGACGACATGCTCTGGTTCCTCCTCCTCGTACGTCATAAACTCCTCGTTATCGATGTGCTTGTACCTGAACCAGAAAATAATGGTCTGCACAAACAGCGCGATAGCAGGTCCGGCCCAGACCCAAATGAGATGCGGCTAGCATGACAGCAGTTAGAGACAAATGTGACCAGAGCAAAGGCAAACTCACGTCGGTGATAGCGGGCGACAAAATCTCGCCCAGTGCAGACGAGAGCGCGGTGGTGAACAGGAAGATCGACATCACGAGCGACTTCATCGACTTCGGGCTCCGCGCATACGCCATCTCGTACGCCGTCACGTTGCACAGACACTCGCTCAGCGCGCCGAGCGCGTAGTTCGGGATCTGCCACCACACGCTCACGGGCGACACGCCGTCGCCGTTGTTGGCGCACATCGTCGCGTAGTACCCGCACGGGTTCGTCTCGTAGATGCGGTACTGCACGATCGCGGCGATCGCGCCCGACAGCGCGGCGATGAAGAAGCCGAGCGTCATGCGCTTGATGGGCCCGAAGTTGATCTTGTTCCGGCGGAGGAAGGGGTAGAGGCCGTAGGTCATGATCGGGACCGCGACGATGATGGTCAGCGGGTTAAAGTTGCTCAGCAGGTCGTTCGGTGCGCCCCTTGTGGTCATGGTCGAGCCTGAACGAAAGCGATGTTAGCTGTACAAGCCTAGCTGTACAAGGGGAAGCTTGCCTTGGTTGGTAGAGACACTGCCAATACCACCGTCGTTGATGTTGTAGATCGGGAAGTAAAGGAAGATCTTGCACGCGTCGAACGTCCGGACGACGTCGTCGACGAACTTGTCGTTCCAGTCAATCGGCTTGCCCCGGAGCGTCGTGATGCCCTTGGCGGCCAGCCGGGACGGTTTCGCGGCGTCCCAAAAGTCCTTCCTCCAAAACTTGCCCTTGTTCTCCTTGGCGGCAAGACCCCATATCTTCATGACCCTCCCGAGCTCGGAGCCGCTGGGCGGACTTTGGATGGTGCGGGTGTAGAGGAAGGCGAGGAGCAAGGGGAGGAGCATGAAAATGATCGTCGGCAGGAGGAACGCGAGCCAGTAGCCCACTAGCTTCTCGGAATACGTCGTCGCAAGCGCGAAGAAGGCACCGACGTTGATAAGGGCTGAAGGGTGCTGTCAGCAACATGTGCTGACCCATACAGGAATCTGCTTACCGTAGAAGATCAGCATCAGACGCTGGATCGTGGCCTCGGGGTCGACAATGACTTTTTCGCCAGATTTCAAGACCTTGGTGTACGGCCTCTGGTGCTGGTACTGGTCCAAGATCGTCGGTGCGACGTTCGGCTTAAAGATACCGGCACCGATAGCCAGGACGAACAAGCTGATGATGAACGGCGCGATGCCTCGTCC